TCTTCTTTCCCACCCTCTTTTCTGATTTTCTGATTTATTTCATTTATTTTTCTATTTATTCTGGAAATTCGACTTTTTCTACGACAACCCTAAATCTGATTAGTTGTTAGTTTTCTCATCTTCTTCCCCACCCTCTTTTCTTATTTTCTGATTTATTTTATTTATTTTTATTTATTCTGAAAATTCGAATTTCTTGGCGGCAACCCTAAATCTGATTAGGTGTTAGCCTTTCTTGCTTTCGGCACACGTTTTGACCTCGTGCGGGTAACGAAGTGCTGCCAAAATTTTCTGATTTTCTCTTACTTAGTCTTTTCGGCACACTTTGACCCCATGGGGGTAACGAAATGCTGCAAAAATTTTTGAAAAATCAGATAACCCATTTCTCCCCACCTCCTCACACATTTATTTATTTATTTATTTATTTATTATTTCTTTATTTATTTTTTGAAATTTTTTTTTATTATTTGTGGCATCTCTAGTGTGCTCACCTTGGTCTCTCCTTTTCCCTTGGCACATTCTTGACCCCGTGGGGGGTAGGGAAATGCTGCCGAAAATTTCAAAAAAATAAATATTGTTTTCCTTTTCCATCCTTTTACTTATTTTTTAAATTATTTTTATTATTTATTTATTTCCTTATTTATTTTTATTTTCTCTCGAAATCTCGCTGTTTATTTATTTTTCTCCCGCCTTCCCCCCCCTTATGCTTGCTCTTTTACTTTCTTGATTGGGTCATCGGTACCCTACCCTAACCACTTAAACCTCGGTTAGGGTTTTCCTTAGGGTTTTTGTAGGGTTTAGGGTTCCTCAAAACCCTCCTACTTCCCCGTCCTCTTTGGGCACCCTGGACCCGAACCACCCCTCCCCCTTTGACGGCGCCCGCGCTAGCCTTGCTAGCGTCGTTCGCCGCTTTCTACCGCGGACTTCCCCCTACGCCCTCCGCTCATGCGGACCTCTTCTGGCCCCCTCCAGTCCGGTCCGTCATCTCCCCATGGCTGACGGTGTGTCACACGCCGCCGACACGGCGATGACCACGACATCGGGCTCCACACCCGTGCCGGCGGACCAGGGCCATCAGCCCCAGGGGGATCTGCACACCCTCCTCACCTCCTTCCTGACGCCCATCCAGGCGCAACTCGCGACCCTCGCGCCCTTACAGGCGCAGGTGGCGACCCTTGCCACCGGCGTGCGGCAACTCCAAGACGCTGGTCGTCCTTCCTCTCCTCACCCTATCTCTTCTCCTGGCTCCCAGTCCGGGTCCCCCGCCTTCCGACAGGGTGGCCACGGTGGAGCTTCCTCCTCAGCTGCCCCCGACCCGGCCATCTTGGTGACCGTCCACGCACCTAGCACGACGACCGCCACGAGTCAGACCCTTCCTCAGTCCACGGGCGCACCCGCCCAGATTCCGGTCACGACGGCCATGGGACCACAACCCGCTACCAGGGTCTCAGCTTTTCCGGGTGCCCCACTTCTCCCCCCTCTTCGCACGACCGCAGCGCCATCTGGCTCTCCCCCTTGTGGGATGCCTCGCGCCGCTCGTACGTCTCCCCCTGCCACACCTTGCTCGACCTACGTTCGAAGTCTCAAGGACGAGATCGCCCGACTCCGGACCGACTTCGCCCTCTCACGCCTTCAGCCACCCCCACCCTCACAGGTGGCCGCGCCTTCCGGTGCACCCCCTTCTTCCTTTATTCTTCCTTCCCTGCAGGCTCGCTTCCCTCGCCCTGCACCCTACCAATCTCCATCCTACCTCCTCCCCATCCCCTCGGTCGCCGCGACCTCTTCTACCGCAGCTCCCGTGCAGCCTGCCGCTGCTTCCCCCGCCGCTCCACCATGCGGCCCGGGCGTACAGTCAGCTGCGCCTCCTCCTCCTCCTGGACCTGCGCCGACTTATTCCGCCGTAGTGCAGTCCCCTGCTTCCCGTTCCTCTCGCCGCCAAAACGGTGGCACACCACTCATCCGCTTGTTGGACATTCCCTTGTATGACGGTACAGGCATACGCGTGTCTAGGTGGCTGCAGGCTGCCACCCGCACGCTCCAGCTCATAGGCGCCACACTCGACACATGGGTGGGTCACCTCTCCACGCGCCTGCGTGGTGCTCCTTTCGACGCCTGGGAGGATTTCTATGCTTACTCCCTGCGTGAGGGTCGGACTCTGACCTTCATGGATTTCCAGGCATTCCTCGAGGATCGCTTCGGAACCCAATATGACGTGACTGACGCCTTCGAGCGTGTCGTCACTACACGCTGGTCCAGCTCTGGTGGCGCTGCCGGCCTGGATCGCCACATCCAGGTCTTTCAGGACGCCCGCCTCGTTTGTGACGTGGCGTTCCTTCCCGAGGCTGCCCTTATCGATCGTTTCTTGGCCAGCCTCCCGCTCGAGTACCGCTCCGAGCTACGACGGTACGGGTTCACATCGGCCCCACACGCTTACGAGGCCGCCAGGGACCATCAGCGGATGCGAGCCCGCTTCACCCCGCCTCCTCCTCCCAGCCCCAGCGCACGGGTTACGCCGCCTCCTCCTCTCACGACACTTCCCAGCGCCGTTCCCCTTTCCGCAGTCGCCCCCGCCGTTCCACGCACCAAGGCTGCCACTTCTCGCGCCGCTTCAGCGCGCTGGAGTATGGTGAGCAGGACGTTGTTGCCCCACTGTCACCTGAGGGCGACCACAGCGACGACTTCGATCTCTGCGAGGCCGTCCACTATCCCTTGGAGGACTCTACCCTCCCTGCAGCTGAGCGCCTTCAGCTCGCGCTCTCCGTCCTCTCTCGGGCACGTAGCCGCCCCGGTCACGCTGGCACGTCGCCCCCAGAGGTCCCTCAGGAGGACCTCCCTCAGGGCTTCGTCCCTCCTCGTGGTGCCCTTTCCCTTGAGGAGCGCGCGACCATTCTGGGGCGGCGTGGGTGTTTGCGCTGCCGCTTGGACGGTCATACCTCCTCGCGGTGCCCTTACACTACCGCCCTCGACTGCCACTACGCTGACCTTTCTCGTCAGCGTCGTGCTCAGTCCCCCCCCGACGCCTCACGTCCCCGCGGCGCCTCCTAGCCACGGTGCGGTGTACACCTGCGCCCTCCTCAGTAGTGGGCTTCCCGACATTTTCGTCGTGGTTCGCCCCTCTCGCTACTGGGATTAAGGTATCGTAGGACTCGACAGACTGTACTCAGCCCTCTGTCGAAGTACCGTCTGCGCCTCCGCAGACCACCGTCTCCCCTCCTTCCCCGCCGCGACTACCGACGCGTCGAGCCATTCGCTCAGCCCGTTGCAGCGAGCAGCTCGCTACTCGCGAGGACGTTGTGTCCTCTCTTCTGGACTTGAGCATGCTCCAGGCTCGTYAGGAGCGACTCACCCTCCATGTCGCTGCACTGCGGCGCCTTCTCGCCATCCTCTCTGACCCTGATCGCACCCTCCCGATCATCCCAGTACGACTCGGGACCTCCACGAGGGTGTACTCTGCGCTGTGGGATTCCGGTTCTCAGGGCGACTTCATTCACCCACGCGTGGTGAAAGAAGCTCGCTTACCCACGACAGGGTCTCCAACTCCCATTTCCGTTACCCTAGGGGATGACAAGACCCAGCGCTTCTTCGATCAGACGGTCACCGACCTCCCTTTCTTCCTCACTCTCGAGCCGACTGATCGTTCCCCGACGTCTCGTCGCCACCGCTCCTCTGCACATTTCGATGTGATGGAGACGGGGTACGACTTCATTCTCGGCACTTCGTGGTCTCGTCAGTTCCGCAGCACCGAGGCCGATTGGGCGACCAACACTCTCGTTTTCAAAACGAAGTGTGGACAGACGTATCGCGTACCTTTCATAGGTACCACTGCGACACCACGCCCCGATCATCTTCCCCCGGAGCCTTCCGTGCCCACACCATCTCCTTCCATCACTGTCACCTCGCCTCGGCAGTTCGCCCACTTCATCCGACAGGACGACGTCAACTTCTTTATGGTGGACGTGACGGATCTCTTACACTATGATCCACCCTGTCCCGACGCCGAGCTCATCCCTCTGGAGCCAGATCCTCCCTCTATCTCCATGACTCTCATCTCTACTTCCGTCCCTCCGCCGTCCGTCGAGTCCACTCCGCCGTCGCGCGTTGACGCTGACGCTGAGGAGCTTGCACGTTATACGACTGACCTGGAGCCCGCAGTTCATGACCTCATCCGAGAGTACCACGACGTTTTCCCATCGTCGTTCTCGTAACGCGACATCCCACCGATGCGTGACGTCGAGCACTCCATTCAGCTTGTGCCTGACTATCGTGTTCACCACCAGGCACCCTACAGACTCTCGATCCCTGAGGCCACCGAACTCAAGCGTCAGCTTGAGGAGCTCCTGAGACTGGGTTTCATTAAACCTAGCAACTCCCCGTGGGGTGCACCCATCCTCTTTGCTCGCAAAGCGGATGAAACTCTTCGTCTCTGCATCGACTACCGCGGTCTCAACCGCTACACGGTTAAGAACAGCTACCCCATGTCTCGTTCCGATGAGTTGTTCGACCGCCTAGCAGGCAACCGCTTCTTTACGAAGATCGATCTTCGTAGCGGTTACCATCAGATCCGCGTCGCTGCAGCCGACCAGCCGAAGACAGCGTTCCAATCGCGATTCGGCCACTACGAGTTCACGGTGATGCCATTCGGCCTCACCAACGCACCCGCTACCTTCCAGAGGGCGATGAATGACATCTTCAGGAACATCCTGGAGCAGTACGTTCTCGTCTACCTCGACGATATTCTGGTCTATAGTCGTACCCTTGAGGAGCACCTCAGACACCTCCGCGACGTCCTTGACCGCTTGCGCAGACATGGCTTATACGCCAAGCTGAGCAAGTGCCGCTTTGCCCAGCACAAAGTACATTTCTTAGGACACTACGTGTCTGACCAGGGTCTCCACATGGACGACGCGAAGATCACTGCTATTGCGGAGTGGCCCGCCCCCACATCCGCCAAGCAGCTTCGCACCTTCCTAGGCCTGACCAGCTACTATAGTAATTTTATCCGGGGATACGCTAGGTATTCCTACGTCCTTACCTCCACCCTCCTCCGGAAGAACCCACCTTGGGCTTGGACACCCCTCCACGAGGACGCCTTCCGCGCCCTCAAGAAGGCCGTGACTTGCGCACCGGTTCTTCACCTACCCGATTTCGATCGCCCTTTTATCCTTACCACCGATGCGTCAAACTTTGCTGTAGGAGCAGTGCTTTCTCAGGTCTTCCCCTCCTCTCCTGATTCCTCTCATCCTCGTATCCCTCGCTTTCCACCACCTACCCCTACCACCGCTTTCCGACTGACGCCTACTCGTCCAGCTACTGACGAGCCTTCTATTGACTATTCTCCTACCATCGCCGAGGACGGCACTGTCGAGTCTCGCTCAGGTGATTGTCCGATAGCCTTCTACTCCCGTCAGCTCCTGCCCGCCGAGATAAACTACACTGCTRATGAACGTGAGGTTCTCGGAGTMGTTTATGYCRCTTGGCACTGGCGTCACTACCTGCACGGGGCACCGTTCACGGTGCCTACGGACAACTCTGTTGTCCAGGCTTTTCTGACAAAACCGAAGCTCACTCCTCGACAGGCTYGCTGGTGGCGCGACCTATCCGAGTTTAGTTTCACCACGGAGCACATCAAGGGTGAGACTAATCGGGTCGCAGATGCCCTATCCCGGCGCCCTGACCACGACTAGGAGCACATCCAGCTCTCTTCCATCTCGGTCACCATCGTCCACCACTCGGTGATCGACGAGTTTCACACTCAGTACCGCCACTGCCTCGACTATGGCGACATCCACGCGACCCTTCGGAGTGGCAAGACCGTCCTGAACTACTCTCTCGGGGACAACGGTCTTGTGTACTGGCACGGTTCACAGGGCACCAGAGAGCCCCGTATTTGCGTTCCCTCCACTGGACAGCTACGTGTCCGAGCAGTGGCAGAGTTCCATGACCAGGCAGCCGCCGGTCATATGGGCTTCCACAAGACGTTGGCTCGTGTGAGCCGCCCGTACGTCTATCTGAAGCGCAAGGACTTTGTGAAGGACTACGTCGCAGAGTGTCCCACCTGTCAGGAGGTGAACAGTGTGAACCACCTACCTTATGGTTTGCTCCAGCCTCTCCCTATCCCTGAGGGTCGTTGGCAGTCCATCTCGATGGACTTTATTGGTCCTCTTCGACCTCCGACCCCCCGCGGTCATGATGCTATCCTGGTCATCGTCGACCGCTTCACGAAGCGTGCACGATTTGTTCCGTGCCGCTATGCTATCAGTGCACTTGAGGTCGCCGACATCGTGTTTGACCGAGTCGTGCGCGACCACGACTTACCTCTCAGCATCATATCTGACCGTGACCCGCGCTTTACCAGCCGATTCTGGCGACGGCTCCACGAGGTATACGACACTCAGCTCCGCTTCTCCTCGTCTTACCATCCTCAGACTGATGGTCAGACCGAGATCACGAACAGGACTCTCGGAGATATTCTCTGAAAGATTGTTCATGACGACCAGCAGTGGGACCTCCATCTTGCCCACGCGAAGATAGCCTACAACCACGCCGTCTCGCCAGCCACGGGGATGTCGCCTTACTATTGCGACCTCGACTATCACCCTCGTGTTCCCGCGGACTTCCTTCGACCGTCACATATGCACCCCAACACGAGTTGTCCCGCGCTGGATGATTGGGTTGCACATATGACGTCGATCATGAAGACCGCACATGAGCACATAGCCGCTTCCCAGACTCGCATGGCAGCACGTGCGAGCCGATCGAGGATGGATCATCCATCCAAAGTCGGTGATGATGTGCTCATCGACGCCCGACACTTACAGCGCGAAGCGGATACGCTTCGCAAGTTTCGGCGTCGCTTCTTTGGTCCATGCCACATCCTCCAGGCCGTCGGTTCTGATACGGCTTCTAGCCCGGTCAGCTTCCGTATGAAGCTGCTCGACTATCTACGCCAGGCTCGTGTGCACGATGTCTACCACGTCTCGTTACTGCGTCCTTACCGCAGACCGTCTGAGCGTTTCGTCGGACGACCATACGAGCGCCCTCCACCCATCATGGTGGACGGTCACGAGGAGTTCCTCGTTTCAGACATCATTGGTCGCCGAGTCACCGACGACAACCCTCCCCACGTCGAGTATCTTGTACGTTGGAAGGGTTACCCTGATGAGGAGGCTACCTGGGAGCCCCTCGAGCACTTGCAACACGCTCGCATGTTGGTGTGTGCCTATGACCGTGCTCGTCAGGCTGGGTTCACTGCTCCTCCTCAGCCCACTGACCCTCCTCCTTCTCCTCCGGCTGAGGAGACCGCTGAAGTCGAGCCTGCTCCATCTGAGGCAGACCTTCAGCAGCAGCCGGATGCTTCTGAGCGTCCACAACGCACTCGTCGTCGTCCTGCTCGATACGACAATTGACTCTGACTTACCTTCCCACGTCTTTGACTTCTTAGTACTCCATCCACATCAGTTTTGCTACTTCAGCTCGTCGACGCTGCGGCTCTTCCTCGACGACATTCCGGACTTCTCATCGTGGACGTCATAATCAGCTTCATGGACTTCGTAACGACCAGCTCTGCCTACTTCAGACGTCGCCACTCTCTGACCACTTTACCCTGTACAGTACCCTGCTTGTGTCGCATGATGGTCTCCCTTTAGCAGGGTTCCTCTGAGTTGGGCTCTCCCTTGGTATACGCATAGGCATCGGGACCGTAGCGTTGCCCTGGCTTCCCACCTTACGGATCTAGCTCCGACTTCCTTCACTTTAGGAGTCATTTGCATGATTCCCTTACCCATCATCTTTCTACCCTTCGCCGGCCCTCAC